GTAACCCTCAGTATCTGAACAATTAGCTAACCCTGAGCATTTTTTACAATGTAACCCTCTTCACTGGAACACTATATAAGGATGGAATAAAGAATCCCCATCAGGGAAAACGTTCGCCAGTTACCCAGTGTGTTCGCTAGCCGAGGTTTCGATAAGTGGACATTGAATTCTTCAAAACCAACCACCTCGGCACCACAGTCTATGGGTATCATAAATACCGACCTAGTCGGTCCCGTAAAGCCTTCCCTTGGAGGAGCCAAGTACTTCATGAATATGCATGACCAATGCTCAAAATCCAACAGGCTTCTTCTTCTTAGATCCAAAGATGAAGCCCCAGAATTGATATAGCGGTTCATAACTTGGTTCCGAACTCAAACGGGCAACAATATTAAAGCCCTGGTGTGTGATGGAAGCACGGAATTCGTCAACTCAAAAGTAAAAACCGCTCTGGCAGACGTCGGCGCCGAACTCATCACGAGCAATCCTTTCACCCCCGCTCAGAACGGCGTAGCAGAAAGGAATAATAAAACCATAATAAAACTTGCTCGTACAATGCTAATCGCGTCAAAACTACCAACCGTTTTCTGGGCTGAGGCCTGCCTCTGCAAAACTTACGTTCTCAATCTGACATTACCGAATCCTCGAACGAATAAGTCCCTCTTTGAAACGAATTATCGAACCAAACCCAAAATCACACACCTACGTCCGTTCGGTTCTCGCTGCTATTTCTACAATCAGCAGATACCCAAAGGGAAGTGGTCTCCTAGAGGCCTCGAAGGAATCATGGTTGGATATACCGAGCGTGTCGACAATTTTAGAATTTATCAGCCAACGACTCGCAAAATTCGGTTAAGTAAAGACGTCGTCTTCATAGAGGGGACAATCTCAAACAATACTCTTTACCCTGTTCAAGAAACAGAAGAAACGAATTCCGACGAAGAGCCACGTCCTAGCGCGCAAAAATCCATACCACATGATAATGGAAACGATATTATCGAAAAGCCACCAACAGATGGTGAGCCTACTCCTTTGTCAGACACTGACACTCAGGAAGTAACAATACATGACACCTCAAACCCCTTATCGGAGCATATGTCACTAAGACGACGCACTGAACTCCGAAAGCCGAAACGCTGCGAGATTCAGTTAACTGAAACAGCTCAAACGGAGCCTAATACATACAAGCAAGCCATGTCCTCACCAGAAGCCAAAGAATAGCAAATGGCTATGCAAGATGAAATCGACTCGATTGAAACCCATGGAGTTTGGTCCTTAGTGAACCCTCCAAAAGACAAAAAACCAATAACCTGCCGTTGGGTATTCAAAAAAAAACCACGGCTGAAAATAAAATCGATCGATACAAGGCCAGACTTGTGGCATGCGGAAACCATCAAAAGGAGGGAGATACCTTTGCTGAATTATATTCCCCAGTGGCAAGGTTTGACACCCAGAGAGTAATCCTCGCGATCACTGCAGCTAAACGCATGAAACTCAAACAATGCGACATCAAGACTGCCTTTCTCTACGGCGACCTTGAAGTCGAAATATATATCACTCAACCACCAGGATTTGATGATGGCACCAACCGTGTTTGCCTCCTGCACAAAAGCTTATACGGGCTCCGCCAAGCGCCCCGTTGCTTCAACAAAAAGCTTGCAGAAGTCCCAAAAGGACTCGGTCTGACCCAAAGTCAAGCAGACAACTGTCTATTCTACAGACACGCTGAAAACGAACTTCTTCTGCTAGCTGTCTACGTCGATGATATGCTAATCATTGCTTCAAGTGATCGTCTGATCAACGACGCTCTCGATGGTACAGCTAAGCATTTCACCATGAAAGCCTCCTCACCGGGACTATTCCTCGGAATGCGAATCGACATCGATAAAAAAGACAACATACGCCTGCATCAAACAAAATACGCCCAGAATATTCTGAAAATATCCGACATGCAAAACTGCCGATCTCAATCGATTCCCGCGGACTCGAGCATCTACAACATCCAGCCAAGCACTGAAATGAGATCTCAGCGTCCATACAGGGAAATCGTCGGATCACTGATGTATCTGGCAATATGCACGGGAGTAGACATCGCATTCATTGTCGCTTGGTTAAGCCGTTATCTTGACAGCTACACCGACGAACACTGGAATGCAGCTCCAAGAGTGCTACGCTATTTACAGGGTACATCCAATCTGTCAATTGTTTACAAGGGAGGCGGTGATCCCCAACTCACAAACACCCTAGAGTTCTACACCGACGCAGACTACGCCGCATGCAAAGAGACACGCAGAAGTGTAAGCGGTCTCTTATGAAAACTTAACGGTGGTGCTGTGCTCTGGCAATCGCAGACTCAAAAATCTGTGAGCCTGTCCACCACAGAAAGCGAGTTCATCAGCGTCACCGAAGGGGCGAAATCAGCCTTGTGGCTGCGGACTCTATACAACGAGCTCCGCACACCGATTATCCCCACAATCTACGTCGATAATCGAGCCGCATTGAAGCTAATTCAGAACCCGCAATTCCATAAGCGAACGAAACATATAGACGCTCGCTACATGTTCATCCGCGAAACCCTTGAAAACAAACAACTTGATTTCAAGTATGTATATCCAAAGACAAAAACAGCTGGCTGACATCCTAACGAAAGCCCCAGCCAAACCCATATTCGAGACACTGAAAAACATAATCGGCTTGAAACCATGTATCTCGGAGAGATCATAATACTCGTGTGCCTAACCACCGTCGCATCGCTGGAACCAAACTACTTCACATATCAAGATTGCAGAATTGATTGCATAATTAAAAACATCAGCTGTGTCATCAATGAAGACTCAGCTGATTTTCTGCGACGGTGTACACCGTCTGCGGACTCTTGCAAAGCGGAGGCAGATGATCTGACTGCTTGTCTAAGACCAAATCTGCCCCCAAGTGGAGGAGAATCAATCTGGTTCCGCTTCAAGTTGAAATACCACCCAGCTGATACACCAGATGATACCCACAGTAGTCGCACCCTCCACCTAGCGATCGCGATAGGTGGCACTCTGCTCGGAATGGCAATTATAATGGCCATCACAATCGTGTGCATGATCTTCTCGCGTTTCAAAAACAATAGCTACGCACCCTTGAACCCAAGTCCGCACGAAAGCATGCAGAATGTGACAGACTACCCCTACCAGACTACGACTGAACCAATTTAAAGCATTGTCCCCTTGTGTTGCAGATTGCCTGCTTGCACTCCTCAAAACAAAACAATTCAGTTTACAGACACACTAACGATTCCCCACAGAAATGCCCCAAACACCAAGACCATTC